CTGGATGTGTTCAGCTGAGTCACTGTCCCCAAACAATATGAGAAATAAAACGCTGGCCACGCTCGGATGGCCAGCAGATGCCTCCTGATCCGCGGGGCCAATTACATGGGCCGCTCCCCTCAAGCAGGCCCAGCGCCTCCCCCAGGAAGGTCCTGCTTAGAAACAGAAGGTGGACAGCCCCCGAGACAGAGAAGCTGTTTGGTGCCAGGTCCCGCGCAGGATCGGGGGTGGGCATGGTCGGTGCCACATTACAGGTGGGGAAACTGAGGCATAGAGAGCAAGGAGCCCTGCCAAGGTCACTTGTGAGGTAAAGGCCAACCTGAGTCAAGGTCACATGTGAGGGAAAAGGCAGAACTGGGTCAAGGTCACATGTGAGGGAAAGGCTGACCTGGGTCTAGGAATGCTTGAACAGTGTGCATTCTGGACCCAGCTCTGCCATAAGCACCCCAGGGGGCTCTCTCTCCCCTCCAGGGCAATCCAGTGGGGATTTCACTGCACCCTTAGACTGTGTGTGGAGGGACTCCAGGCCCCTCACCTGGGTCCAATGGCCCCAGCCACCAGGCTCAGAGCCCTTTCTATGTGGGAGGTGTTTCTGTGAGTCTCTGCAGTGGAGTGCAGTGGTCAGAGGCCTGTGGTCACATCCTGCCCTGCCTTGTTTTGGCCATGTGGCCTCTCTATCCCTTGGCTTCGCCATCTGTAAAGTGGGCATCTTAACAGCGTGGGACTATGTTCCCCGTGGAGTGTCCAGAATGCGGCCTGCACACAGATAGTGTTAGGGAGTGCCACTATCACAGGCCTCTGCATAACAAATGACTGTCATTCTCCCCCCAGGACAACCAGCCAACAACACACGGCCCCCGCAAGGGCCCCGACTTTCCCTCCAACATAATACCTGCCGGTCAGCTCCCCTTCACACCCTTCATACCTGCTGCTGGTGGGGTGCGGTGTGGCAGCTCACTGTCCTGGGGCCTCCCTCCCAGCTCCACGTCCCACGAGACAGCAGTTGGCCCCGTCAGAGCCTCAGTGCCCTCACCTATAAGTGGGGGTGACAGAAGCACGCCCATCTCGCGGGTACTTCTCAGGGCTTTAGCGGAATTGCATCCTGGGGATGACCTGTGGCTGAAGAGCAGACCAGCTCTCGGAGAGAGAGCACCCCCCCCCCCAAGATCCAGAAGAGCCTTGTCTTGGCCCCTGCAGAGGCTGGAGGCAGAGCCTCTACCTGCATCCCCATCTTGACAGGTGCTTCCATGACCGTGGCAGGACCGAGTCACGTACTAGCAGTTAAATGCTTCTACCCAGAAGGGACACGTGTCACTTCTCCTGACATTTCATTAACCATAGTAAGTCACACGGCAGCATTACCCCTCTCCCTGAGGGGGGCAGGGGAGGACAATAATCCTATAGGTGTGTCCAGAAGGAAGAGAAGCAGAATGTGTGGGCAATTCTCCAGAGAACCCCCCCCCCTTATAAAGGCACTGTGAATCCCAGTCCACACACATACAGGTGACTTTCTAGAATGCCACTTAATGTCCTACTTAGCCCTATCCTGCTGAGTAGGTGGAAGATTACACCCCTGTTATTCTTTTTTTTTTTTTTTAAAGATTTTATTTATTTGCGAGAGAGACAATGAGAGAGAGACAGAGAGCATGAGAGGGAGGAGGGTCAGAGGGAGCAGCAGACTCCCTGCTGAGCAGGGAGCCTGATGTGGGACTCGATCCCGGGACTCCAGGATCATGACCTGAGCTGAAGGCAGTCGCTTAACCAACTGAGCCACCCAGGTGCCCTACACCCCCGTTATTCTTGGGGGCTTTCTGCCTGGTCTGTGGTTCTGGTCAAGTTCCCAGGATCTGGCACAGTGCCAGGATGTCAGGAGAGAAAAGCTCTAGTGCCATTTGTTATGGGCTGAATTGTGTCCTCCCCAAATTCACGTGGGGAAGCCCTAACACCCAGCACCTAGAATGCAACTGTATTTGGAGACAAGGCCTTTAAGAACTGATTAAGTTAAAATAAGGCCATCGGGTGGCCTTTGAAGAAGAGGAAATGTAGGCCCCCAGAGAGGCAGCAGGAATGCGCATGCACAGAGGAAAGGCCATCTGAGGACAGAACAAGCGTGCCAGAGAGAGATTGCCCTCCTGAGAAACCAACTCTGCCTGCACCTTGATCCCAGACTTCCAGCCTCCGGAGCTGGGAGAAATCATTATCTTGTTTTAGCCACCCCGTCTGTGGTACTTTGTTACGGCAAGCCCAGCAGGCTGGCACACCAATGGTCCTGTGTTCACACCTGTTATCACTGAGGCCTCCAGTGCTCCTGGCCATGGGGACCTGCAGATTTCGGAGCTCTGCTGTGTCCGTATCATACTTGGGCCAGGAGACCCCTTTGCAGCAGCCAAGGACCCTGTGCCCAGGGTCTTCCTCCCTAAGCTCACAAGGGTACTGTGTTATCTGGAGCCTGGCCTTACCCATGCCTGGGTCCTCAATACTCAGGGACACATAGACCTCACTCCCAAGGGAATCCCCACCTGTTTCTTTCCACCAGCCCCTGCTGCCTTCTGTAGCCCAAGGCATTTGGGACAAAGTCAGGAGCTCATCCACCAGCTGTGGGCTTCCCTGGGCAAGGAAGGACAAGACTAAACTCGCACTGACATGGGAGGGAGTAGAAGGTGAAGTTCAGGAAGGAAAAGACAATCACCATCTCAAAATATTATCCTGTCTCCTGCAAGTGACCCCTTGAGGGGCATGTTCTGATCCTCACATGTTTCCATTAGGGCCAAGTTTGATGTAAACAAGATAGCTTTTCTCTAGGGTTAAAGAAGCCTGTTGGTAGCAGCCCACTGCTGATACAGCAGCACCACCATCACTAGGGACAGGGCTTACTGTTTTGTCTATTTGAGCCTCCTCGATGAATGAGAATGAGCTTCCCCAAGTCACCTCATCATCCAGGATGGCTGCTGGAGAGCCAGTCATCATATCTGCATTCCAGGAAGCAGGAAGGAGAAAGGCAGGAGGACAAAGGGAGCACAGCTCCTAGCTGAGCTAGCTCCCTTTAAGCAGTCTGTGCTAAAGAAAGTTTATCATACTTCTCCTAACATCCCACTGACCAGAACTTAGTCACAAGAGTCACTGCAAAGGGGCAGGGAATGTCTTTATATCCAGGTGCTTCCCTGAACCACAAAATATCAGGTGTGGTCACTAAAGGAGGGAAAATAGGTATTACGTGGCAACCAGTCATGTGATACCCTGAGTCACTTGGAGGAACTTGAAGGTCAGAGAGAGGACATGACTTGCCCCCAGTCCACAGCCCGTGAGCAGCAGCGGTAGGGAGGGTAGGACTGGAACTTGGGCCACATACAGTGAACTCCATCACTGTACCAAGGCTTCAGAAACCCCCACTTTCTGGCCACTCTTCGGCATGATGTTTGTTACCATCCAGATACAGCACACAGAATGTGGTCCTAGCAGAACAGAAGTGAGCAGGTCTTTTCAGGAAAATCAAAAATTTGAATGGCAGACAGTGCCGGGAGAAGTTAACACCAGTACAGCCTCTTTGAAGAGCCTGTTGGTTCCGATTAGGTTCAACTGTAAAAGAAAAATCCAAAGGGATTTAAGCCAAGTAGGGACATTTATTTCTCACGCATCCTCAAAAAGTCATCCTAAGGTGGACAGTCCAAGGCAACTGTGGCACCAGCGTCAGGATACGGGCTCCTCCTACCACATGCCCGCTGGAAGAAAGGCACTGAGCCTAGCCTCTCCACCAGGAAGTCGCAAGCGTGCTTGCATCCCATTGGCCAGAATTCAGTCGCATGGCCACACCCACCCGCAGGGATGCCTGGAAAATGCAGTCTTGTTCCAGGAAGCAGTGTGCCCAGCTTAAAAAAACTCCGAGATTCTATTACAGTGGAAGAAAAGGGGGACACGCTGGAGGACAGCTATTAGTCTCTGCCGGAAGACGGTAAGACAAAACTAATTAAGACCGTGTGCTCCCGTCATTCCACGTGCGTGAGTTACCGGAAGCATATTTATAAGGATGTTTGTCGCTGCATTGTCTGTTGTTGCAAAACATATCGGGAACAAAAATCCATCCCAATGGGACTGGTTAAATAAATTGCCGTATATCTGTAATGTATGCAGCTGCCGGAGTGAAGCCGCTCCGCCACCTGACACGGAACCATCCGAAGAACAAGTGTGAAGTGAAGAAAAAACCGACAGAACGTCTACGTTCCCGGAACAGGGGTAATGTGCATACACACGTGTGAACACACATAGGCACTCGGACGGGCAGCGAGGCCCCTGGCCTTGGCGGTGCTTCTGGGGCAGGGACGGGGAAAGCGAATGCCACCGCAGGGAGGAGATTCATGCTCCACTGTGCACCTCCCTGCACCACGTGAACTTTTCTTTGCCATGTGCATGTTACCTATTAAAAAACAAACTTTAAGATGAGAACAAAAAGGCAGCAGGCTTCTAGCCTCTTTTCTTCTGTGGGTGCCTCCCCGTCGACAGGGCTGTTTGCTTAGGTATCGCACTGAGCAAACCCAGGCTATCACTCCGGCCTCTCGGACGGCACAGGCGTCCCAGGCCGCTGGTGCTGAGTGCGGCTCTGGAATGGCCTGTCCAGGCCTCCCTACCCGGCCCCCAACACTTGTCCTGCTTGGATGCCCTGCAGGCCTCCTGCCCCCACCACCATCTTCCAGGAAAGCTCTGAGAAGGAACCTCCTGGCCCACTGACAGCCCTCTGGGCCCCGGATCCTAGGGAGAATGACACATTGGCCCCACAGTCACAAGCCATGTTGGAGCTAGTGCCCTTGGTGTCCTGCCACGCAAGAGGGCTGGCAATGCAGGCAGGTGCCAGGCCTGAGCCTCAGCACCGTGGCCCCACTGAGACTGCCTCCTCTCTGGCGGTGGGAATGACATAACTGTCAACGCCCTTTTTCTCCAGCTGCCCGAAGACTCAAGGCCAAGCTTAGGTACAACGGCAGTGACATGGACACACGGCACCTCTCTCCTCGTTTACAGCTTGCTTTATTCTGACTTAGCCCCATGTTTAGCTTATCACATCAATTCTGATCATGTCAGTCCCTGTCATTGTACCTTCTGAGTGCCTACTATGTGGCAAGCACTACTCTAGGGGTTAAAAACAATCGAGTTATCGCTACTGCTCCATAAGCATCTACCAGCCCTTCACTACTTCCTAATCCTTATAGCAGCCCCTGCCAAGACAGGCCTCCTTATCCCCATTTCATGGATGGCGAGCTGGAGCTAGGGGAGGGGAAGCGGCCAGTCCAGGAGGGCAGAGCAGAAGGCACAGAGAAAGGACGGGACCTGCAGGGCTCACTCCAAACCCCATGCTCCGCAACCGGGTGGGGAAACAGCTGCTCACAGAACCATGGTTCCCTTTCTACGTCCCTCTTGTCTGCTCGGACAAGCGCCTGGGACACGGAGCACTGGGATCCGATTGCCCCCCACTTCCCCAGCAGCCAGCCTAGGGCCTGTGCACTGGCCAGTGTTTCTCCGTTGAGCAAAAGGAGCCCAGAGCCTCCCAGGGCTCGGGACGCAGAGGGACCTGCCAGGACCTCTGATTGTCGCAGGTTCTCACCCCAGCCCTCGGGCTCCTAAGAGGAACCTCCACAGCCGCACCTTCTGCTCCTTGTTTTTTATTAAAAAATAGATCAAGAAAATATACACACTTCAGCCCACCCACCGGAGTGGGCTTTGAGGAGGCCAAAGCGCCATGGGGAGGAGGCAGAGGGATGAGAAGGGCCAGACCGGCCCTGGGTGCCCAGGCTTTGGAGAAAGGAGGTGCCCTCAGCCAGCCTAGCCAGGCCTGGCCCTGAGAGATCAGAGTCTGGGCCATGTTGCTGAGCAGGGAGAGGGCAGGTGGAAGTGGAAGGGGGAAGCAGCCCCCAGCTAGAGCAGAGGTGGCCAAAGGCAACTGGAGGCACAGAAGGCGAGACAGGGCCTGCGTGGGGCTGCTGCCCACAGAAGGTCCCGTGACCTCATCCTCCTCCCCCAGCGACTTGGCACTCCCTGGTCTTCTCTCCAGCCTGGCCTGCACAGGCCCCAGCAGGCCTCCCGGCCACGGTGGTCACACTCAGGCACTGACAACCTTCCAGCGCTCACTGTCTGTGCTGTTGATGCTGCCCGTGTGGCAGGGCATGGACGCAACGTCGTCCAGGCAGGCTGCCCCACCGGCCGAGTCAAACTGTGTGCTAGCAGCCCCTGCTGTCTCGGGGCCTCCCCGCCGGGCCACGGCGTAGGGCTGGGGCAGGTGCACGTCTGGTTCCTCGGCCTCGTCCGCTTGGCATTTGTAGGAGAAGAGGATCTTGGGCTCCGAGCTGGTGGGGAGGGGAGAGGGGCAGGGGAGCCCCACTGTTTGGTTAGGAAGGCTTCCTTCTCTGAACAAGGCTTGCTGCCTAACGGCCACCCCAGGAGGTCCCCAAAGCTTGGACTCTGGAGTCCAGTGGGACTTGTTTTAAAACTCAGCCCACGTGTGAGCTCGGACAAGGATAAGTTTCTCACTTGCCTGTTTCTCACTGTAAAATGGGTATAACTCTGACCTCGAGAAGCTCTTAGCAGAGGGTAAACAGAGGTAAATTCTGGCCTGAGGGGCTCAGCAAACACCAGCTGCAACCTCCACCCTTGCAGCTTTTATGACCACCTACTTTGCACTTACTTAGTCCCTCAATCCTCAGGATAACTCTGACAGGGAAGCGCTGTACCCAATTTACAAAAAGGAGCCCAAGGCCAGAGACATAAATGCGTGTACAAGGTCCCACACAGATCAGGGCTGCGCTGAGAGCCAGTCTAGCCCCTCTCACCCCACCTCTGATGCCCTCTCCCGGCACTCCCCCCGTCAGATCCCCCGCACCTCCTCGGACCCAGCACTTCTGCCACATCAGGGGCCCAGGATCCAACCCTCAATCCCCCATGTCCTTAGCATCTCATCTCCCTGCCACGCCTCCAAACGCACACAGGCACCAACATGCACCTCACGCTATGCTCCACTACACGCCCGCCTCCCGCAACCCTGCTCCTCTCCCCGGCCACTCCCAGCTAGAATCCGTGAGCGTGGTGATTTGTGTCTTCTTTGTTCCCTGTTGTGTGTGGCAGCTGCAGCAGTGCCCAACACCTAGTAGGTGCTCAATGAATGCTTGCTGAAAGAGTGAGCCAAGTATTCTAAAATGAAAAGCAAGCCAGTGTAGAACCATGTGCATAGACACTCTCTTGTGGGGAAAGTGTATATATATATGTGTGTGTTGCATATAAAATGTGTATATGTATGTAGGTGTACGCATGTGTGCATATGTATATATGTGTGTATGCATGTGTAAGTACAGACATACACACTTCATCTGCCTCATCCTTCCCAATGTCCAAGCCTGAACTGGGAGGAGGGAGGCGCAGGACCCTGAGGCTGAGGATGCGCATGCGCAGGGAGCTGGAGGCGCAGTTCCATAGGCAGCCACGCGGGGGCGCCCGCGGCCCTCAAGCCACCAGCCGCTGGGTAGCAAGCCAGGCACCAGCTACCACCCCTGTCCCACGCCCCCTACCTGCCCGCGCCGCCCCCGGCTCCCCGCGCCCCCCATCCCCGTGGGAAGACTCACCCAAAGAAGCCCCGGAGGAAGGCCACGTAGATGAGGGGCGCAAAGAAGCTGAAGTAGAGAAATGTGGTGGCATCTACACAGCTGGGGGGCAGGAGGAGCGGGTCAGGGAGGGGCCCCCTCTGGATGGGACCTGGGCTTAGCCTCCCCCTGTGCGCCGCTCCCACTCAGGCCTCGCCCCACACCCGAGCCAGTGGACACCCCGTGCCCCGCCCCACCTACCAGAGCCCCTCGATGATGTCGGCGCAGAGTAGCGCGCTTCCCAGCCCCTGCAGCAGGTTGAGCAGCGCCAGGATGCCCGCATACACGTAGAAACTCCTTCGCGCTGGGGGGTTGGGGACTGTGAGGCCCTGCCCTTGCCTCCGCCCTTCATCCCCAGCGTGTCACCTGAGCCCTTTGGGCCCCCAGGAGGACCCCTCCCTCTCACCAAGGGCTCTCCAGCAGGAGAGTCACAGTTGCCCAAACAGACGCTGCCCTGCACCCAGCCCTGTGCCAGAGCCACCCACCAGCTGCTTACAAGGCAGGGAGATGCGCTCCTTCAGCGGGGTCTTGGGGAGCACAACCACCAGAGAGTAGACCTGCAGAGACAGAGCAGGACTGAGAAGGATGCTGGGCACACCAGCCCCAGAGCTAAGCCCAGGACCAAGACATCCAGGCCTGCCTCAGGCTCTAGGTTCATGTGGCCACCCCCAGGGTGCCGAGACCCAGAAAGGGGTGGGGGCACCCTAAGCCTCACCAGGAAGAAGAAGCAGGAGCTGACCAGCCAGAACTGGCGGCCCCCATGCCCATAGATGTTGAAGTCCTCAGCCGACAGGTGGGCGTCAGGGTACAGGATCTCCAGTGTCCCCTGCAGGGGCAGGCAGGGGAGGGCCTCAGTCTCCTGCCACATGGAAAGCCCCCTCCTAGGGGGCTCCCTGATACAAAGTACCCAGAACCCTCCACCACACCAAGCCCAGCTCCCCAGCCTGGCCTTCAGAGTTCCCTGTTCGGACTGCTCCCTGGCCTTGCCCTGCTCCCTACCCACCTAGCTCCAACACCGGAGCAGCCTCCTAAGGAAGGAGCCTCTAGATGTGCAGCTCTGTGCGTGGTCTGCAAACCTGTATGTGCCCTACCTGGGCTGCTTGTTACAACAGCAGGTTCTAAGCATCCTCCACGTTCCCACCCCAGCCTGGAATTGGAAGTGGATTGGAATGGTGGGGAGGGCGGGAAGAACCTGCCTTGTAAACAAGCACCCCAGGTGATTCCTTAGGCGCATTTAAAGTTTGAGAACACTGCACCTAATAAACGTTTAAACCTGGACCCAGAACCAGGGAGCAGGGGATGCTTGGCCTTCAGTGACCCCTGGCCTCCTCCAGGGGGACCCCAGAGCTGTACCTGCCCCACTTCCCCTCTTACCTGGGTGACAGAGTAGGCCAGGGACAGCACCGTGGTGATGGCCAGCACCCGCTTGATGCTTGACTTGCTCTCCAGGTGACCTGGAAGAAACGTGCTGGTCAGTCAGCGGGAGCCAGCCGGGTGACCGTGGTGGGGTCGGTGCCCGCTAGGGAGGGACAGGGAGAGCGCTGGCCGAGCAGCACACGCACCAAAGGCAAGGCCCAGGATGACCACACTCAGCTCGATGGCCAACAGGAAGAAGCGGGTAATCTCCCACAGGATCTGGACACAGAGCAGGCAGAGTGTCAGCCTGGGGGCCCAGTCACCCCTCTCCCCAGCGCCCAGCATCCCCCCCGCCCTTGTTGGCAGGCCCAGCCACACCTTATCGGCAACAGTCGCAGCATCCGAGGTGCTGACCGTCATGGACACCACGGCCCGGGCGATGCCCACCAGCGCCACCACGAACACCTGGTGGGGCAAGAGTGGGGATGCCATGATGGGGTCAGGGAACAAGACCTCTGCGAGTTGCAGGGCCTCTGCAGGAGCCTTGGATTCTTTGAGAACAGAAGGATTCCAAACCAGAAGAGTCAGGAGTGGGATGCAGGGAGGTGGGGAGATCCTCCACTGCCGGTAACCTCCGCCTGGCCTTTCCCTCTTGGGCCTCAGTTTCCTGGCTACACCGGCAGCCTTGGAATGGCTAATAGGGGTAACGTGGTGGAGCCCCACTGCCAGGATCGAATGCCAGCCCTGCTGCTTCCTGCCTCTGTGACCTCGGCCAAGGAGCTACACCTCCGTGCCTCAGTTTCCTCATCTATGAAAGGGGGTAAAACTAGCACCTACTGTATTTGATGGTTGGGAGGAGCAAATGGATAAATCGATGTAGCGGAAGTGAGCCTGGCACCCGGTAAGGGCTAGGTACACATTTGCCTTTAGCTTCGTCTTATTAGAGCTTTTAATCCCAAGCCATGGGGGGAAGGAGGCTGCAGGGAAGAGACCCTGACCCTGGGGAAGGCTGCTGCCCCAGCACGTCTTGCAGAAGTGCCTGTGCTCAGCATCGACGGATTTTGTCATCCGGTATCCACTCTTCCTCTGGCAACAGCCTCCTTCCTCTCACATGGCTTGGGGTGGGGGGGTGGGGGGCCTGCCCCCCCGCCCCGGCTTCAGGGATGGGCCTGTAACCCAGGGCTAGCCATTCGGCTCATGCCATTCCCTGATTTGGGGATGGGGGTGGGACCCAAGGGAGTCTAGTGACAGGCACAGCCAGGACACCAAGCGCAGCCACTGGGAAAGGAAGCTGGGGGGAGGCAGGGTTGCAAGCCTGGAGATGCTGGGGCTGCCTGGCTCCATGAACATGAGACTGCGAGAGACAGGGCCATTGGAGAAACCCCAGCTGAGAGGGACACTGAGACTGTGCCCCCACGGCCTTGTGGAGCCCCTGAATCCAGCCATGCCTGAAGCCCTGGGACTTGTCAGTTTCTCCATTAATACATTCCCTCCAGCTTCTGTGAGTTCACTTTGGTTTTCTGACATATGCAAACAGAAGAGTCCAGATCCATGCACAGTCTGTCCTTTGTGCCACAAAAATCATATGGAACCCTTGGGGAGACTGACACCACTCAACAGGGCAGGCTATAGAAGCAACAAACTGCCATGTGCCTACTGCATACCAGGCTGCCACCGGGCTAGAGCTATGCACGCTGTCTTCTCCGGTGCTCACAGGACCGCCGCAAGCTAAAGCAGGCCCAGCACACATGGTGTGGGAAGGGGGCCACCGAGGCACAGAGAGGCCAAGCCACCAGCCCAAGGTCATCCAGCACAGCCGGTGCTCACCACTGTCTCCTGAGCGCTCTAGAAAGAAGTCCCCAGGAATAAGAGGGCAGGGGCAGTGCTGAGTCTCCTGGCCCTGCCTCATGCTCCCAGGCCTCGGCCCTGGGTCCCTTCTCCCCTCATGCTCCCCCAGAAAGGGCATCTGCCTGCCTGCTTATCTGTTCAATAAATACAGTAACGAGTCAGAGAAGCAGTGGGAGAGAGAAGAAAGCAGGCCTCAAGGCCCACCCCTGCCCACCACCAACTCTCGGGGGCGGGGGCTCCGATCAGCCGGCAGCCCCTGGGGCCTCCATCAGCAGCCTCCAGGGGTTCCCCACAGCCTCTCCTGCCCCTGCCTGCCCACTGGCAACTCCTCTGACTGTGAAGTTCTGAGCCAGGCCACAAAGAGGGGGCCCAAGGAGCCACTCAGCTCTCAGGGAGTGGTAACTAAGAGGCAGAAGAGGGGAGGACTCCGGTCAGTCAGGCCGGAGCCCTGAAGGACGGGAGCTGGACAGTCTGAACCCGGAACCCACACCTGGAGCCCATACCCGGGGCTGCCTTCCCAACCGCAGCCCTACTACCTCTCCCAGGCAGCCCACACCAGTTCCACTGAATGATGAGAACTCAGGGTCTCCCGACAGGCAGGAAGTCTGCTCCAAAGAGGTCTCACAGAACCCAACGGGGATGGACGGCTGGATGGACAGACAGATAGATGGAGGTGGCAGTGGGCATTTCTTCCACCAGCCAGCATCTCTTCCCCTGCCCTCTACGAACGGCTCCCCAGTTTTCCTCCAGGGACCACCACCCTCCTCAGTCTACAGAGCCTGGCTGAGTTGACCCTCCCCTCCTAGCCTCAGAGTGCCCCCTCCCAGCTAGTCACAGTGACTGGCTCAGGGACCAACAGGGGATCCAAGGTGGGCCGGTCAGAGGGAGTCCCAGGTCTATACTAGCACTACTCCTCTTTGGCTGGTATTGGCAGGGAGGCAGGATGTTAGCTCACAGCTGCTCTTGGCTATTTTTGACACCAGGCAAGGGAGAGCACATCTGAGACAAGGCCAGAGGAGAGCAGACAGGCAGAGAGACAGAGTCCTAATGATGTCCATCTACCCCTGGATCCAGCCACGTCTGAAGCTGGTTTTCATTACAGAAGCAGTTAATAATTCCCTTTTTCACTTAAGCCAGTTGGAGTGAACTCACCAGGATATAGAAGGTGATAAAAATGGGGCTGGAGGTGATGCGGATCTTGGCCCGAGCGAATGGAAGCTTCCAGAGCAGGAAGATGAAGAAGAGCACATTGGGGATGAGCAGCAAGAGGTCCCAGTACCGGACCCTAGCAGATGGGTACAGAAACCAGCCGACTGGTAAGGTTCTGTCTGTGACCCCTCGGCACTGCCCCCCATCACACACGTACGTACGCACACATGCACGCACGCACGGGGGAGACCCACTCAGGGCCACGGCCTGCCTCACCTGGAGGTTCCGATATCCTCATAGAGCAGCAGCAGACAGCGATGCGGCACGCTGATGTTGGGTGCCACGGGTGGGGGCAGGGCTGTGCTCCCGTTGGCCCAAATCACCCCTTCCAGGATGCCCATCCCGCCAGCAGCCGGCCCTGGAGGAGTGAAAGCCCCCATGTGAGCAGCGCAGGGCCTTGGTCTCTGGTCTCAGGGACCCAAGAGCAGCTCCCTACAGTGGGCCTGCGGACCACTCTCCCACCCACCAGGCGGAGGGTGAGGTGTGGCCCCCCCCACATGCCACAACACAATGCCGGGACAGGGGCCCAGTCCCCTGCCTCAGCCTCTGTCTCATGACCCACACACAGGAAATGCCACTCCCAGTGATTGAGCCTTACACTGTGCCAGGTACAGCAAAGTAAGCTACTCGGCATGACCCCAGCTCATCGCCCCGATCCTGGGGGTCCTGGGGACAGACAGGGAGCAGAAGGGCAAGGAGCCAGGGTCCCCCTGCCCCTGGAATGGGCCTAACAACAGCGTCCACCCTGGGAGGCTGTGGTGGGCACTGATGTCTAGCGCCTCCTACAGCCCACGCACGCACAGTCCAGAGTCCTTGGCGCAAGGCCCACAGGAGGCCCAGTGACTGACGGTGTGCAATCACACAGCCACCGAGCCCCAGAGTGGGGCATCACGCACAACTCAGGCAGACCACACCGCTTGTCATCCTCTGCTGCCACCTTGGAAAGGGAGACGCAAATCGGGGGGACATGCACTGTGCCAGGAAGACGCACGGAGGTCTCTAAGTAGAGAAGGGGAGGGAAGGAGAGGCACGGCAGAGGGGGCCACTGTGGGGGGGGGGGCACTGCAGAGGGAGCTGTGTCTGCAAAGGCAGGGATGGGGGGCTGCAGGGGGAAACGAGAATCAGCAGGGGAGCCCACAGCCAAGCACCTCCGAATGAGAGGTTAGGAGTCCAGCCTAGAAGACAGGAGAGCTGGTGGCCTGGGGCCCTGGGAGCCACCCTGGACAAGGCGGGCTTCCAGGTCTCTGGGCCCTCAGGGACAGGAGCAGAGGAGTGGGGCCCACACTGACAGCAGCAGGGACTTCCTCAGGGAGCTCAGGGGGTGCAGGGCAGGTGAGCGAGGCGTGGCCTGGGCACCAGGACATAACAGATGCCAGCATTAAAATGATGACTGGGACAGATGAGGCCTTATGACCTAGAGTCTTCACTTCTGGGTACATGTGTAACAGCCCCAGGCTAGCAACGGTCCAGAGGCCCACCATCAGCAGTACGCACACGTACGAGGTGGCGCTCACATACACAGTGAAACAGAAAGAGAAAGAACAGGCTACTGCTATGGGCAGCAACAGGAAAGGGCCTCACAGATATGGGGCTGAACGGGGCCAGTTACAAATGCACGTGTGCGGCCTGACCCCACACAAAGATCCAGGTGAGGGTCACCTTTGTGGAGGATGGAGGGCATAGTGGGGGGTGGGGAACACCAGCTTCTGGTGCTTGATTGGGGGGGTATACAGGTGTGCTCACCATGGCAAAATTTATTGAGTCACCCACCTATGATCTGTGCACTCTTCTGTATGGGTTGCACATCAGTAAGTTTTAAAAAATTAGAAAGATGTGTTCTGTTTACACTCCACGAGCGCAGGTCTCCCATTCAGCAAGGAGCAGCCCGGGCCGCTGAGCACCCTGTTGCAAGGATCTGCAAATGCCACAGGCAGCCATGCTTGTGCTGTCACTAACACGAGCCCTGAGCAGCAACAGGTGCAGGGCAAGGGCTGCAGGGGCATCCTTGCTACCATTCCAAGCCACGAAACGTGAGCGCTGCCTCTGATTGAAAGGGGGAGGAGACTGAAGCAGATGGGCCGAGACCTGGGGCTCAGGCTCCTCCGTCCTTCTCCTCAACAGGCCACTCGCTGGCTCTGGGATCACATCCCCATCTGCAGCTTGAGGCCAAACCGACAGGGAAAACATATGCCCAACACATAGTAGGTCTGAAGGAAGGATGCATTCTTCATGCATATTCTTCCACCGGTGGCAGCAACACTTACTGTGAGCGAGGGATGAGTCTGGGGGCTGGGACACACCTGCCCTCCCAGGGCCGTCATTCCAGGAGGGGAGCCAGGCAGCCAGCATGAAAACCATGCTAACAGAGGAGTGGAACTGAACAACGGGTAACACAATAGAGACTACCAGGGTCCTCAACATCCACCCTTCCGTTTAGTACTGGAGCCCATGGATTTTAGTGCACACATGGCTTCCCAGGATAATGGCTATTTTCCGAGCTTCCCTGGCCACTGGCTAAGGCCACATGACCAAGTTTTATCCAATCGGAAATGAGCAGTGAATTTAATGGGTTGGTCAGTTTCAGGCCGAGCAATCTCCTTTCCTACTGCCTGGGACAGGGATGTGCTGGCAGGAACAACAGTAGCCATCTTAGACCACAAAACTGAAACCATGTGTTGAGGATAAGAGAGAAATGAGAAGTGTCTGGGTCCCAGCCCTTGCCAGTGGGCCTCCAGGCATATCCTGGACAGCGTGCACACAGACTACCATGCAATACGCAGGAATAATCTTCTATCTTGTTATCCTGACCTTTGTTTCAACAGCTAAGCCAGAATCCCAATGAATATAAAGAGGTACTGCTTTGGACTGGATTGTCAGACAAGCTGACATTTGCACTAGGTCTAAATAATTGAGAAGGAACCAGGCTTGGAAAAATCTGGACAAAGAGCACACCGGGGAGAGAACAGTGAATGCAAATGCCATGAGGTACAAACAGGCTTGGCCTGTTCAAAGGGCAAGAAGCAGGCCAGTGTGGCTGGCGGGGAGATCAGAAAGGTTGGCAGGGCCAGGTCACACGGGACCATATGACCACATGCAATGTGATTGCATTCTGAACGCTGTGAGAAGGGTGTCACAAAGGCAGGTAACGGGGTCCCATGTCCACGTGGAGAGGACTGCTCAGGCTGCTGGGGAACACGAACTGGAGCAGGGCAAGAGTGGAGGCAGGGAGACTGAGGAGCCACTGTACCAGTGGTTGTAGTGGGGGTGGAGTGGAGGGATCTGGGATACCTTGGGGAGGGTCAGCCAACCTGAGCAGCCCAGAGACACCCCCAGAGAATGCGGGAAGAACAAGGATGTGGTAGCTTCTGGTCTGGCCACTGGATATTTTGTAACAGCTAGGCCAATGCTACAAATGTGTCCCCACCAAACACTGCCCCCTTCTCCCTAGCTATCAAGGTACAACTTTATTCCAGCACCCCTCCGTGATGCCCTGCCGCACAGGCAGGGGCCCCTCCCCTGGGCCAGAAGCTGAATCGCAACTACGGTAGCTAGGGGCCTTGGGGTAGGGGCAGTGTGGAACAGTACCGGACACCTCAGCAGTGCGCAGGGGTGCTCCAGTTTGACACGGGGACGATGGGGGTGGGGTGCTATGATTTTTCGTGGACAGAGTCCAAGGCTGCCACATGTCCTGCAACACATGGGACAGTCCACCAAATGAATGATCGTCTTTGTCTTTGCCAAGAGTGCCCTGAAGGGAGGCTCTGGTCAATGTCAGGAAGGGTGTTCTCCTTGCTGGGGGCAAGTTTAAGCAAGGGCACATGATGAAATATGGGTGAAGTCTCCCAAGAAACGTCTTCCTTGCTGACCATCAAGACACCCTCCAGGAGGGCGCCTGGGTGGCTCAGTTGGTTGAGCGACTGCCTTCGGCTCAGGTCATGATCCTGGAGTCCCTGGATCGAGTCCCGCATCGGGCTCCCTGCTC